TTTGCCATACCTTACCTGTATTCTCAAAGCTACTCTACTTATGCCAGCTCCCTCAGTCATCTCTTCCCAGTACACAGGCAAACCCACTTGATGTGCCAAGTAGCTGCCACCCACACAGTGCTACCCAGTAATTGCATTTATGGGCGTGTGTACGCAACACTTTGTGAAGCACTTTGAATTTTTTTTGATTTCAAAAAACTATATAGGCATAACATACCGTTATCACCTGGAACATATCTCAAACTTACTCAGTAAACAGGATGTAGAAGCAATTTTGCAAGTTCTCTTGCAGGTTTTCAGAACTTCTTCATTCTTATACATGGAGCCAAAGTGACCATATTCTTCTAATGGAAGAATCTGCTAAGCCCATACTAATTTGGCTATTCATGTACTTTGTACGTAAATCTAATTCAGCTTTTTGTTACTATCTCAGAGTTAAAGCAGCAATAGCCAGGAATGGCCTTTCAGAGCCAAGTGCTTAAATAAGTTACCAGTGGTACCTAGGCATTTTAATAGTAATGTATCATCATGGGTATTCACATAAGCTAACAAAATATTTCCTTTCCTCTGGAGCATAAAAGGAAGGTAATCTTCCTAAAGGGAAGAGGAGACAGACGAGAGACACTGATTGTGGACAATTAATCTTCCATAGGAAGCTCATGTGCACATGCCAACAGTGGTCTAATCGGAGACCCATCTGGCCACCAGATCAGTGGTGCTCAACTGATTCATAGTCAGTTTGAAATGCCTAAAGTCAGACTTCTGCTGCTTCATTTGGAAACTCTTCACAATCCAGTATATCTCATTGTAAGGATAATTTTCCTCATGCTCCACCTGGATGGTCTATTTTACTTAAATAACCTTCTTTCTATAACCTTAAATATTTCCTTTTTCCTTGCTATTTACCCCTCAAACACGAGTAGCTTTTTTTTTTAGTATACTCTAGTCATCTCTTAGCCCCAGTAGGCACATTTACCTCTTTCATTCTTCCAGAGAAGTTTGTCCCTCAAGCACAACAGATCTCTCTCTTATTTTTCTGCAAACTTTCTCAGATTTGTCCATACACGCTCTCTGATGAGGTCCCTGGGACAGATTGCCCAGTTCTGTGTGCAGCCTTCCTAGAGAGAAAACAGACACATACAAAATATTCTTTCTCTGTTTCAGTAAAAATGCCTCTCCATATGCAGCACAAAATTTGAAATTGGCTTGTTTTTCCCCAGGCACGGTGCACTCCAAACGTATGTTCAGTTTGTTTTCCACATTTTCTTTTTGTTCTCTTTCAGTTTTAGCGCTATCTGCATTTTACACTCATTCAGTGTTCAACTATGTCCTTGGTTTGCTGTGGCAATCATGAATAATCTCTGAAATCTGTGGAGTGACATGAGCAAAAAATTGGTGCGAGTGAGAAGAGAATCAGTCTGTGGTTCAAGTCCCTGAATTTCTTACTATTTTTCTGTTTATGTTTCTGCTTGCTTACTCGTTATGTAGAGTTACTCGTACCAACAATATCTGCAGTTTAATCTCTGTAGATTTCAATAATCTACAGACTTTTTCACACTTGTATAACACTAATGATCATAAACCGAACCTAACTTTTGTTACTTACAAACCAAGATGCCAAGGGTAATGTTTTTTGCCACACATTGTCTGATCTTTTGTAGTTTGGATTTTTGAAAACATTCCTTTTTTCTGCTCACTTCAGCTCGCTCTGTGCCTTACTTCAACTCTACGTTTGACATTTTTAATATAAATGTATTTTATGCTTTGATATTTCATCTTTAAGTAGTCCAAACACAATAATCATGTCTTGTTCCTTACTTTCTTCTCTTTAGAAATTGTGCACAATTAAGTTTGAATTATTCTGATTTTTTTTTAAGATTACTAGCATTGGTAGCTCTTCTTTGCTCAGTTGTCTATGTTAGGTCATTTTGACTATCTATTCTCTGCCAGCAAAGCTTTTGGAAGAGTCTTATTTTTTCAGTGGTCAAATTTGTTATTCTTTCTTTCATTCACTTATAATAATATTCCCGGGCAGTTACTCCTGTCTCCTAATTTTGGGGATTGCTTTTTTCAGTTGATCTCAGTTAATAGGGCTTTAAAATTTGACCAAAGGCCCCACCTACTTCCAGAAAAGTGCCTGTTTGCTGTTTCTGTGACGACCTGCCCATATTTGGTACAAGCATAAACCTCCAAAATCCGTAGTTTTGTTTTGTCTGTTAGAGTTTGGTGGCTAAAATCCTGAAGACTCCTTCTGCAGAAACCCTTCCTGTCCCTGTACTACTGATGCATGGCCACGTCTGCTGCAGAACAGCTACCATGTCCTGATGCCACAACCCTGGGCTGAGAAGCGCTTTCTCTGCAGCAATCTGGCTCTAAGAAGCTCTAAAACTTGGCACCAGAACTGAGAACCATGTTATTCTGTGCTCTCCATGGTCTCTCACCTGGCCTGTGGGAAATAAGGAAAAGGAGGCAATCTATGAAAAGGTGGATTACAGTGGAGTTAGAGAACATGGGAAGTAAAAGGAAGTAAATAAGTATGATAATTTATGGAAATTTTGTGTGTGTGTGTGTACATACATACATATATGTAAATAATATATATCTCTTTCTCTAAATATACATGTATATGTATATATAAAGAGGCATGGGACAGGACCAGAGGGGAGCAGGAGGAGAGGGAGAAGGCTAGAATCCTAGGACTTTTAAACGTGCAAGCAAAATTGAGAAGGAGTCAGTTCTTCGGGAACATATGACAAGAATAGCCTCTAAGATGTGCAAACAGACTTTGCACAAGATCTTCAGACACAATTATTCTTTACTTGCAGGTGATTATTATAAGCACCTTATGCACATTTGCACTAATTAGCAGATGGACCTACACACATTTTCCCCTGCTTCAGTTCCTTTGCCAGTCTGGCACATTCTTTCAGAGCCCAAGGAATTAGAGTTTTTTCCCAGAATTATCAGGCTTTTTCTTTGTGCCATTTTGCTGTCTGCTGCACTGATGATCCCTCCAATAGCTAGAAATCACCCCATGAACGAAAGCCAATCTCTTCCTCTCTCTTATGTAGTCTAGTGACTCCACAGTCTCTCCTACTTCCTCCTCCTCTGATTGCCTTTATTTTTTTGCCTTGTCATCTTTGTATAGATCTCCTGTTTGGGAATCTTCTATTCTTGTATTCTTGTGGACAGTAAAACAACCCAAAACTTTTCTTAATAACAGTGCCGTTTACCAAAATCTTCAGGCTGTACATGAATGGGTACATCTCATCCGCAGACATCCAGACAGACAGCTTTCATTCTGCAATGGCTAGTTTTTGAAAAGTCACTTTACATTCATATAGTCTCTAAGCACCAATATTTTGGAAATAACATAAAAATGAAGCACGTTTCCTTTTGTCTGGCATGTTTAATACTTTTTGGTAATTTCAATTTAAAAGGTGCTGATTCTGTTTTTCTTTAGAACAAGCAATGCTTAAATCACAACAGTTTTATCTGCCTCATTTCTAGCAGTGAACAGAACACTACACCATCATCTGTATTACAGTCTTGTGGATTTTCTCTAGCAGCCACTTAATGACAACTCCAAGTTTGTTTTACCCTGGGGATATATAAGTATGTGGCCAGTTGCTTCAGGTCATATTCCTTCTAAATGGAAGTCAGCTTGACAGCTGTTAATTTGCACTTGCTAAAAATCTTGGCCATTCCATGTCTTGTTGTGCTTTAATTATTGGTCACTGTATGGAACAGGTGACAAATACCCACATGAGAACCCTTTAAATCACTGGATGTGCAATCATTAAGAAAACAAACAACCAGGGTCATTAAATACTAGTTTTCTCTCCAGCCCCAAACAGAAATGGATTTTGCCCATTTCTGACATCTATTGGAAAGAGATGGAAAGAAATAACAATACCTTACTGTTTATGAAACTAGCTTTCCCATTCTGTAAGTGTCCTAGTTTCAGGGGAAGAGAAGAATTTAAAGAAAATGCAACTGTTCTAAGAACAGATGCAGAGTCTGATTTATCTAATGATTGTATCACAAAGTTTGATTAGGTGTTTTTTGCTAGGGAAATGTAAAACAAAACTCCTCTAAAATATTTCCTCTGACCTTCAGCTACTACAATTATATCAAAATAAAGTGAGCAAATAATTGTCCTTTCTGAACAAGACAGTGCTTACTGAACAAGATGGCTTTTGCAATTTTATATTCAGATATGATGTTGATAGCATATTTTTCTGTAAATAACATTTCTATTGGTATATGCTATGTACACTATCTTAGCCACAGAGAAGACAAAAAGCAAAAAAAAAAAATCAGCAAAAGGGTTTCCAAGTGCAGGCAGATCTTTTGCTTAAGCATTTTGTTTCAAAGTAATTGGATTTTTAGATGTTCTTTCCTATTAGCTTGTCACACAATGAAACTGTGTTTAAACACACAATGTTTAAAAATAATTTTAAACGGTCTTGAGGTTAGACCTATAAAACACCATTATACTGAACTTGTATTTCTTAAGATTCCCCTCTGCTGAAGTATGGCATTACAGAGGATATTTAACTGAAGTCTATTTTCTAGGACTAATTTTGACCTTAAGTTGGGCCTTATGTTCTTTAAGGACATAAGTAGAGATTTTGTTTTTATTCATGTAAGTAGTGAGTAACTCTGGAAGTTTTGCAAGATTATAGAGTTGCCTGTAGTGAAAATTGTGAATAACTTAGCTGATCTCAGTAGACGTGTATCAGTGGAGACAAGAGAAGATTCAGCACCTTGCAGTCCTGGTGAAATTATTGCTTTTAAGACTAGTGCTAGAGTTGAAGATATTACAAACTGCTATTTGATTGATGTGTTTCAAAACATGCTAAAATAGTTACACGCTTACAACACACTAAGATATAGAGTGATTGCCACAGAACATATTTTATTAAGACTTAGTCTAAACTCAAATTCAGCTCTAAATAATATCCTACTCTTTTTTTTTTTCCTTTTTTAAAAAATAGGTGTAAGTGCAACCTTCACGCTACTGGCTGTAAAGAAGAAAACAAAAGACTGCTTTGTGAATGTGAGCATAACACAACTGGCCCAGACTGTGGAAAATGCAAGAAAAATTACCAGGGCCGACCTTGGAGCCCTGGTTCTTATCTCCCCATACCTAAGGGCACTGCTAATATCTGTAAGTAGTTTTGTATAATAAGGATCATTTCATTATTAGAATTCTGCCCCGAATAGTGACTCTGAAGGAAGAGAAAAAATGCTAGCAAGTTTGTCATTTATTTATGACTCAAAGCATATAATTTGACTGAGTTAAAAGCATGTTAATTGTCAGTATGCATCTTCTGTGTTCTTATATGCTTGTAAAGAATTTGCATAAGAACTGCATGTTTGTATCTAGTCTAGACAAATCCCTGGACACTGCACAGCAAGGGCTAAGGAATAAGAAAAACAGCGCCCTTCACTTAAAAAGCACACGCAGAGGAGAGAAGCCAATGGGTACATCTGCAGTACTGCCCCAGCTATGGCTCCCTCAGCTCTCCATTCACATATTCTTATTGCTCTGGATTCAAAAAAATCTAACTTCGATTTTTGCGATGAGGTCCTTTCTCATATTTTCTCCGTTTAAGAAAATTAAAAAACCTCAGACTAAATCTTTTTGATGTTTAATAATTAGATCTAAAGGCTGGTAAGGGAAAGTTTGTGCGTGATCTTGACCTGCAGTCCAGATTCACATGCGATCTTGTTGATCTCCATAAATGTTTAAGAGGGAAAGTGAAGGCAAAATTCGACTTGTTATATCTGCCTATTTCCAACTAATACCCATTTAACCACATGCATACTTACTATTCCAGTACACTTTTGTATTAGCCACAGGAAGTTATTGACAGCTGCATTTACTGGTCCTGGCCAGGATAAGGTCCAAAAGAAAATGGTGCTGAAAGAGAGGACACAAAGACAAGTATAAGCATCAGTTCTTCCTTGCATGCATGTATGAAATATACAATGATTCAGATTCATCCTCAACTGAGTAAAATACTTAAATCCCTTTGAGGAAAGGAATAAAGAAGATGAGGATAAATCATCAAACCTTTTGACAGAACTTATTAACTTCTTTTTAAAAAGAGTTCAGAGCTTTGCCCTGATTAAAAGCAAAACATTCATTTTAGAATATTAAAATATAACAATTCACTGAAATATTATTTAGGAGAAACAGAACTATGGGCTGCAGGTGACTGGAAAGTTTAAAACCAGGAGCAATGTGGAATCCTTAGAATGTTATCTAAGACTTCAAAGCAGCAGCTGTGAGGAATCAAAACTCAAAAATGAATCTCACCGGAAGCAGGACCTTATCAAGTTAAACGCAAGAGTAATAGACCAAGTAACAAACCATAAAGTGTGGGAGCATGAAGTTATGATAAAATTCCTACTAAGCAGAAAAAAGGAACTTTCAAAAAGAGAGGGAAAAACATTTTGTAGGAGTATTCACAGAATCACACAGAATCAGAGAATGGTTGAGGTTGAAAGGGTGATCTTGAGATCATCTAGCCCAACTCGAAATTCACTTGTTATAAAAAAGTAACAGTATGGCTCACAGAATTATTACTTTAAAGCTAGGTTCAGAAAAAAAAATGGTGAGATTTACAAGCTTGGGTTTTATTTAGATATGTGCATACACACATACACGCACACACACATAATGCAGTTGCTACCTCAGCAGTCATCTAAATGGGGGACAAGCTTCATCTAAACATGAAAATAGGAATCTTTCTAAATGTAGTCTGCCATGTCAGTTACATAATTTTACATCAGTTGAGCATACACCAGAAGAAACAGTGGAATTAGCACATACACAAACACTACCTGAAGCTGATCAAAGAATTTTTAACGTTATTAAATTCCATGAAATACGCAGTTCCATCAAAATCAAAACCCCTTTCAAATAATAGGCAGTTGTTAATATTATTTCATTATTATTATTTTGATAGCGTCTTGAAAATGTAACCTTACT